AGGTTTGTGCAATAGTTTTCTGCTCCAGCCTGTTTTGTGTGCACAGCTGGGGTTTAGTGTGGAAATGGAGCCTACCTGCGTAGGTGGAGGTTTGGAACCTTAACCAGGGTTTGTGCCTGCAGGGAGGTTTGTTTACGTTTATGAAAAGAAATAAACACATAAACAAAAATGTGTTCATGCAGAGTTTGCTGCACTTTTTCCGTGTTTTCTCAGCAGCTGTCTCATCTGACGCCCTAATGTTCTGAAAATGTCGCCTCTGCGTTGGTGTAAGTGTGTGTTTTTGCAGATGGGAGCATCTGTGTGTTTGGGTCACGGGCAGAAACCACCCCCAGCCTTTTCCCTTCCTTGATCCTGCATTTAGCACTGGATGAGGCCATGATATGCAAATAGCTCGGACAGCATGCAAAGAGCAAGAAAATGTGTTTATGTGACATAAATAGACAGACAGGAGGACAGTGTTTGCAAAAAAGACTTAAATGTTAATCTTTTATTTGTTGTAGAGCAATTCTTTGGTTTCTTTCACGCAGTGTTAAAATGAAATGCGTTTGCCTCGGAGATAGGAACTCGCATCTGGGAATGACATCACTTTTAACTTCCAGTTCCAAGTCCAAAAACCAGTGAGTTTCATATTTTTGCTCAAAACTTAAACTAATGTTGGTAAGACAATCCAATAACGATGCATTTGCTAAACGATGGGACACACTCACCAGGTTTTATGCAAAGCGCTCTATGTCTGCGTCCCCAGTTGAAAACCTCTGACTTTCCAAGCTGAGATTCCGGCGTCAGGGCATTCTTGATTTTATTTGATTGGGAAACTTGGAAATTCCGACATCCGGGTTTATTTTTATGCTCCTTTTTAGGCCAAATGTTTGTGCCAATTACAGTAAATAGATGTCTAGATGTCAGCTATGATAAAGCACAGTTTCTTTTTGTCATTCTGGAAATGCATCATGGGTAGTTTGGATCCAGTTTGTGTTTCTAGTGCAGAAAAAAAAACTTGCACTATTTCTTCTTGGGAAAAAAAAGATAAAAAATAAAATAAAAAAGTTAAAGAACTTGATTTGCTTTTAGAAAAGAGTTTTTCCTTTCTTTTCTGCTCAATCCTGTTTGGTCAGTGCTTCTTCTTCTTCTTCTAACTGCAAGAAGGAAAAGAAACCACAAAACTTCCGTTAGCCAAAATCTTACAGATGTCTATTTTTAGACCGATAGTAAACAGTGCTTCCTCTCATGCTTTAGTTAAAAGGCCAAAAATTTTACAGTTTTTCCGTGTAATGAAAGGCAGTTTACTGTCACGGTAGGAAGGAAACCATAAACCTTTAGCTTGAAGGTTTTGTGTTCAGACATGAAAAAAAATCTTCTGGTTCTTAACTTTCATTGAAGTTTAAAAAGCAAGAAATTTTTCAGAAACATGATGAATTTATTGGAATAAAGCAAAAATGTGGTTGAAATTATTTAGTGTTTCAAATGTACGCTTCTTCTTTACAATGTTGCTTAGTTTATTAGATGTTGCGGATAATTTTAATTTTGCATGCCGCTCTTAAAGAACAAGTTCACTTAGAAACTGTTTTTACGTGAAACAGTTTCTAAGGAATCTTAGAGCTGCCACCCACGCAAAATTGAATGAGAGTGATATCACGTTACAACATCCAACACATTCTCACACCCAAGGCGTCAAAATATGACGCGTGTGACCAAGCCTCAATATATGACTATTTGGGGCGTGCCAGCGCGCTAGGAGACGACGATCAGGGACACGCTGGTTCACGTGGCTCCGCTGGCGTCACTGTTTGACGCGCGCGGTCACACGGACGTTATTCGACTATTTAACCTTCCCCTCACCCCAATCCTAACTTTCAGGTCCATAAACTGTGAGTTTAAGGTTAGGATTGGGGTGACGGGAAGGTAAAGTAGTTCACAGGTCGTTCTAATGTCCGTCTCACCACCGGCGTCGGATACCGACGCTCTGGGACGCTGCGCCAGCTGTTTGTCCCTGATCGTCGTCTCCTGACGCGCTGGGGCGTCCCAAATGGTCATATATTGAGACTTGGTCACACACGTCATATTTTGACGCCTTGGGTGTGAGAATGTGTTGCAACATTATAACTTTATTGATCCAACAATTTCACGTTCTTACAAGATAAGTATTTGGTTGTACGGACGTGATGTTTAAACCTAAAAATTATATTGTTAGAACTTGATAATAAAATCTTCTACAAACATATTGGAAGAATATGAAAATTATATTGTTAGAACAATAAATTTAGGATGTTATGAAGTTATATTGCTTCTATGTAATTTTGTGTGGGTGGCAGCTCTATGCTTCCGTAGAATCCCGCATGAGCTTCTGATGGAAAATAGACGGGGAAAGGCTCGGATTAGAAAAGCCTGACAGATTTACGTTACACTGAGAATTAGCATTCATGGACTCACCCATCATGAACAGGGTGAGACTTTCACCTTTACAGATTTATGAAAAAAATTTAAGCAATTTCTGAAAAGGAAAACTTCATTTTGCTTCTTTAAGAAATAATTTGAATTTTGTCTTTTCTTTTTTAAAGTGCAAGTCACCCCCCTACCAGAGTATCACTCCACTCCCACTTCCTGTTTGAAAAATGCCACAAATGCTGTTGCCTAGCACACCGAGAGGGTGGAGTCACTAACAAACACACACACACACACACACACACACACACACACACACACACACACACACACACACACACACACACACACACACACACACACACACACACACACACACACACACACACACACACACACACACACACACACATGCTGTGTCTCAATTCAGGGTCTGCATCCTTCGAAGGACCCAGTCTACTCGGCCGACGTGGGCTGGGTCCTCCGTCGGCTGAGTAGACCGGATGCTAACGGCTGTGAATTTGGACAGGCCTAGCCTTCATGAACTTCCTCGGCGAACGTTCTGTCACCTAGCAACCGTGGAACCGCTGAGCAGAAGGGAGAAGGAACTTTAAATGATGGAGCTCGAAGATTTATTTAGCTATTTAATCATTTCCTTGACTGTTGGAGAGCTAATTCAGAGAAAATACTTTCAGCAAGCTGAGCCTGAGCAAAGATGTGATAATAGTTTTTAATACTTTCTAAGGGTCTTAATCTGACCAAAACCGATTTATCACCTTTAAGACTTTTCAGACCCAGCGGATACCCTGTAATATTAAACAATTCACATTTGTAAACAAAAATAAAAATCAAGAGTTTAATGCAGAACTGATTTTATTTAGATATTTCTTTTATTTCTACATGTTTAACCTTTATTAAACATTTTTTTCTAGCAAAGTAAAAAGCTGTCAAAATTCTCCCTTCTCTCCTGTGCCCTCTGCTGCTCTGCCTCCCTCTGCAGCCGCATGTCCTCCCTGATCAGCTCCAGGAGCTGGTCATCGCTGGCACCTTCCCCTGGATGCCCATTTTCTCCAGAATAGTCTTAACAAACATGTAAGAAAAGAAACAGGAAGAGAAAAGAGGACAACGGGTTATTCCTTTCATGTTTTCGCAGAAAAAACTAAACTCAAACGAATTTTTAAAATATGAGATGTTATTGTACCTCCATGCCACAGCCGCCGAATACTTTGCTCCAGTGATCATGTGGTCCATCTCCGCCCTAAGCTCAATAAATTCCCTGGTTTTCTCTTTTGTCCCTAAAATACAAACTCCTATTAAAATCAGGGGGAAACGTAGCGGGAGAAGTACGACACCGAGCGGCCGAACATACGAGCCGAGACCGCAATACAAGCACTGTTACTGTAACATTTCTAACTAAAATAATGTTCATGTATCACAAAAAGCCCTTAACCTATCAGTTTTCTAGTTTATACTGACATTTATATGCGCATTCCTCTCCGACAGCTCCCGCTTCACTGTCCACCATTGTTTTTAAAAGTTCTGCCGTCCGACCCGCAAGGCATCTTGGGAAATGTAAACCGTTGAAGGATACACCGGACCCAGTTTTTACCTGACAACGGCACAACACTTGACAGTTTTAGGCAGAAAATTAGATTTTTTACTAAAATGCACTAAAGTGCAAAACTCTGCAGCACGATTAGACATGCATTTATATAGTTTATCAGAAAAAAGTTGATTTGGGGGTGACTTGCTCTTTAAACATTCCTTAAGTCTAAGCTAATTCTGTTGTTCACGAGTGAGGGGAAAACTGGAGCGTGAGATGGATAGGCGGATTGGTGCTGCATCTGCAGTGATGCGGGCGTTGTACCGGTCTGTCATGATGAAGAGAGAGCTGAGTCAGAAAGCAAAGCTCTCAATTTACTGGTCTATCTACGTTCCTACCCTCACCTATGGTCATGAGCTTTGGGTAGTGACCGAAAGAACGAGAATGCGGATACAAGCGGCCGAAATGAGTTTTCTCTAAAGAGTGGCTGGGCTCTCCCTTAGAGATAGGGTGAGAAGATCGGTCATTCGGGAGGGACTCGGAGTAGACCTGCTGCTACTCCACATCGAGAGGAGCCAGTCGAGGTGGCTCGGGCATCGTCAGGATGCCTCCTGGATGCCTCCCTGGTGAGGTTTTCCGGGCACGTCCAACCAGGAGGAGACCTAAAGGTAGACCCAGGACACGGTGGAGGGACCATGTCTCTCACCTGGCCAGGGAACGCCTTGGGATTCCCCCGGAGGAGCTGGCTCAAGTGGCTGGGGAGAGGGAAGTCTGGGCCTCTTGCCTACTGCCCCCGTGACCTGACTCCGGATAAGCGGGTGAAAATGGATGGATGGATAATTCTGTCGTAGTCTCCAACTAAACGTGTGTAGGAAATTATGAAAAACTATTTAGCAATTTTTATTAATTTGATGTAGTCAGTGGCAACCCCTAGGGGTGGCAAAGGGGGGACCAAGGCCACCCCTAGAAAATTGCAATGAAAATAATCTGGGAGCGCCACTGGATGTATTTATCTCATCGTCATCTGTTGAGTGGAAGACAAAATGACCTTTTTGACCTTTTTGTCTCCTCCCAGATTCAGCGGTGATCCTTGTGTCTCGAGCATCATTCCTGTGTGATTATTTTTGTTTTCCACCATGGACCTCCGGGTGGGAGAGCGGGGAATGCGTCCCGGTTCGGACACGGCGCTCCTCACACCTCTGCACCCCCCTTTACTCCTCACCTCTTTTTCCCCTCAAGCCCGCACCTCCTTCTCCCAGCAGCAACTGCATCAACAAATCCGGGTAACAGACACACACACGGAGGAATTCAAAGGCAGTGTTGGCTGGATGTAATAAACGTGTGTGTTTGCGGTTTTAGTTTAACATGGAACAGAGGCGGCGGGAGCAGGAGCACCACGAGAAACAGCAGGAGCTACAGCAACTGAAGCACAAAGACAAAAGTCAGCAGAGTGAGTCCAGACACACACACACACACACACACACACACACACACACACACACACACACACACACACACACACACACACACACACACACACACACACACACACACACACACTGCTTCAGATCCTTTAACATGTTCCTGCAGGTTTTCTTCTTTGTGTGTCGCCTCTAAAGATAATCGTTGCTCAGCGCGGTAATCATGGCCCAAGAGGAAAGTCCCTACAGGAGATCCGACTGAGCTTTGAGCAGAACTTTACTCTCAAAGCTGTTTAAGCTCTAAATATAACCTCACAAGTGCAGCTATATCACCAGGGTTAAATATAGTCTGTGGTCTCGGTAAATAAAGGCACTCGGTCAATATTGACTCGATCACTTCTAACACCCGCTGGCTCCTCTTTGTCACACATCCACATTCACCAAAAACACTAGAACATCAGCAAACATCACCTTGCAGTGCAGCACACACATTTAACGATGCTAGTGCGAGAACTACGATGCCCACATGCTCAAGTGCTTTTGTTTTCTTGATCACATTTTAGTGATTTTCACTTTGTCGTGCAAGATGTGCAACACCTGCAGGTTGCCTGCACAGTGGGGCTCCTTTTTGCACCTTTCATTCTGCTGATTTCTTCTCTTTTTGGGGGGTTTGCTGTGCCGATAATCGACAGGTGCTGTGGCGAGTTCGCTGGTGAAACAGAAACTCCAGGAGGTGATTCTCAAGAAGCAGAAACAGGCGGCGCTGGAAAGAACGAACTCCAACACCCTGACGCCACATCCTGTAGTGTACAGGTATGACAGCATGCAACAACACCAACACTTTTAATGCTCATGGTAAAGTTATAAATCATAGTGTTTGTCTTTAGAGTGCTTAAAATGTAAGATCAGACCCGGGGTCTGCAGCCTGTAGCTCTGGAGCCATCAGTGGCTCTTTAGAGCTACCACAATGATTCCCAACCCCTTTTGGAAGCAAACTCATGTTTTCAAATATAGACGTCAGAAAAATGGGAGTTGAAGCTGCTTTTCGGGTTTTCTAAATGGAGTTATTGCATTGAGTTTGCATGCAATGCTTTTTAGATCTACTTGGGTCTTTTTTAACGTCATTTTCCACGGATATCATCAACCAATTCTCTATTAGCAAAATGTTGTTCCTCCTCTTTTACAACTTAACTATAGAGATGGTGTTTTTTTTTAAATGTCAACACGTTTCTTGGGGTGACGGTGGCACAGGAGTTAAGCGCTCGCCCCGCAATCGGAAGGTTGCAGGTTCGAGCCCCGCTCAGTCTGTCGCTGTCGTTGTGTTCTTGGGCAAGACGCTTAACCCACGTTGCCTGCTGGTGGTGGTCAGAGGGACCGGTGGTGCCAGTGCTCGGCAGCCTCTCCTCTGTCAGTGCGCCCCAGGGCAGCTGTGGCTACATCGTAGCTCATCCCCACCAGTGTGTAAATGTGTGTGTGAATGGGTGAATGACTGATTGTGTTGTAAAGCACCATGGGGGGTTCCAGGACTCTAGAAGGCGCTATATCAAATACAGGCCATTTACCATTTATGGAAAAGGAAGAAAAAATATTACTGACGTTGGTCTCAGAATGTCAGAATCCGGATTTAATCGCATTTTCATCACTTTTTCTAAGAATTCTAATTTCACTTTCACCATCCATCCATTTTCATCCGCTTATCCGGAGTCGGGTCGCGGGGGCAGTAGCCTGAGTCGAGAGGCCCAGACTTCCCTCTCCCCAGCCACTTGAGCCAGCTCCTCCGGGGGAATCCCAAGGCGTTCCCTGGCCAGGTGAGAGACATAGTCCCTCCACTGTGTCCTGGGTCTACCTTTAGGTCTCCTCCCGGTTGGACGTGCCTGGAAAACCTCACCAGGGAGGCGTCCAGGAGACATCCTGACCAGATGCCCTAACCACCTCGACTGGCTCCTCTCGATCTGGAGGAGCAGCGAATCTACTCCGAGCCCCCCCCCCCCCCCCCCCCCCCCCCGAATGACCGAGCTTCTTACCCTATCTCTAAGGGAGAGCCCAGCCACTCTTCAGAGAAAACTCATTTCGGCCGCTTGTATCAGTGGTCTCGTTGTTTCGGTCACTACCCAAAGCTCATGACCACAGGTGAGGGTAGGAACGTAGATCGACCGGTAAATTGAATAAATTTCATTTTCAGAATTCCAAAAATAAAAGGACTGCCTTTTAGTGGCACTAATCTTCTTCCATAGAATAAGTCAAAAATTTAAATGATTTTTTTTCCCTAAAAGGTCTTGTAGTGGTTGAGGCTCCAAACAAATGTTATTCTGGTGGACTGAGGGCAGTGGCAGACCCCTTTCAATTTATTTAGAATAAATAAGGTGTGTGTTTTCCAGAAAACTCGGTCCAGATCCCAGCGTGGCCTCCCAGCCTCTGGTCTCACCTCCATCACACTCCCTACCTGACGGATCAGAGGGCACGCCGCTCCGCCGAGCAGGTGAAACGTCTTCATTTCAAACCAGAAAACAATTTCTTCACTAATCTGTTGAAACTCCAGATTAAAGAACCCAAGAAAATTTGTCCTTTTGCATTTTAAATGTAACAAATCCAAAGAATATTGATGCAACATGTATTGTTTTATTAGACTGTAGTTCACATACCAACATTTTCACTTGTAATGAGCTTTAGTGTTGAGCTTAAATAGCTGATTTAGTAACATTTCCCATTTTGCTTTCATTTATCAGCATCTGAGCCCAACCTGAAGGTAAAACACAAGCTGAAGAAACACCTCAACACCCGAAAGAGTCCTCTAACCCGCAAAGAAAGTGCCCCGCCCTCCATCAAACACAGAGCACCAGATGCACTCGGTAAGCTCGCACACTCACACAGGCGGTCACTTTAGTTGATTTAATTTGCACATCATTTAATATTTGCAGATATGATTGCAAAATCGCATTCATGCATAGTTGTGTCCCAAAATGAAGTCATCACTCTTTGTTCAGATTCCTCCCCCAGCAGCAGCAGCACCCCGGTGTCCGGCTGCAGCTCTCCTAATGACAGCGTCCCCAATGAGAATGGACTGCTGCCATCTGCAGGCGGACTCTCGCACGAGGTCGGCCAAGAAAAACACACAAACATTTAAACCGTTCGTAGTTTCAAACACAATGTGGAAAAAATGAAGATAGATGTCTTTTTAGTTTGCCACACCTGCATGTTCTCGTCTTGGATTCTGCAAAAAAGCTGCTTTGCAAACATTGATTTTGTGGCGGCAAATGAAATGTTTAAAGCAGCGACACAAGAGCTTGTTCATCAGCTGTTTGTGCGTAATTCATTTAATCAGGAAGTCAGATCAGAGCGACCTCGGTTACACCTGCTGTGATCTCTGACTCGTCAGTGTCAGGAAATAAAAACACATGCGTGGGTTTCATGCAGCTTCACGACCTTCCAGCTTCTGACATTTTAGTAGGAAACTTTAGAAAATGCGTTGATCTAGATTTAGAGGTTTCGGTTTTGTGAATGCAGCATTTTTAATCCTGCCTAAAACCACGTTTTAAGGTGATCTCGGTTTATGATTTTTAACAATGACTGTTTGACGTTTCCAGGCCCAGAAGCTGCTGCTAAGAGACGGCACCCTGGCTAACTTCACCGTCCAGAGCCCGTCCACCCTGCCCACCATCACACTCGGCCTGCCAGCCAACTCCAGGGTAAAAACTTACTCCAGCACATGAATTAATCAATAATTTTGTTTTATTCGTCTTTCTAATGATAAAAGAAAGATGCAAAAATTTTTAAAAAGCCCAATAAAATAAACATTCTGATGCTGTGACTCCAGAGAGTAAAAGTTGTCTTCACTTTTATTTTATCATGGCATAAAACTGTCAAATAATTTTATTAATTTGATTATTTTTTTAAAACGAGAGAGGATATTTAATTAATTAAGGAAATCGCCATGTTTGTAAAACGCCGTCAGCCTGATGATGGCAAAAGATCCCTGATCAGTTTTATTGTCAGATCTTTTGTTTTCAGCTTTTGTAAAAAGTTGTTGACGTGTGTTTCCAGGCCGAAGGAGAACTGTCGTCTCTGAAGGTCAGTCGGGTTCCCATGGTTACGGCCGGGGGCTCTCCGGTCTTCCTCCCTCTCAGAGGAGAAGACCAGGTGGGGCAGATGAATCGTCACTTACCTGTCATCATCCTGGAGCCTTCTGGCCTTGTCCACCCTCCCATTCTCACCGGTGAGACACACACACACACGCACGCACGCACGTACGCACGCACGCACACACACAAGCTGTTGATACAGACGGAGGCTTTCTATCACTTTTGTGTTCAGATTTTTACTAACACACATATTTCGGATCAATTTTGAGTTTTTCTTTGCAGTTTTACATAAATAAAATCAACCTTTTGTGACCCGTGAGGATTGTTCACTTGACAATTTGGGCCCTCATCTTGAAACGTTTGGAAACCCCTGAAATAAATAAATAAATAAATAAATAAATAAATAAATAAATAACAGCTAAATATTTCCAAAACTTTTATCTAACTTCCCATTAATGGCAGCAACTTCATAATTCCTGTCTGAAATGGTAGAGCGCCACCTAGTGGTCGCTTTTAGATAACATGTCCTAATTCTTTCATCCAATGTGTCAAAAATCCCTAATTTCACAATATTCTCGTGACTTCCTTGTGCTTCTGTTCTGCTCACATTTAAAAGCTCTCTGGTCTATTCCCACCCGCCTGCCAACAGTTCCAGGTCTAGACTCCGTCCCGTTGCAGTTCGCACCGCAGCTGGACCACCTGTCTCCGGGAGGCGTTCAGCCCCACAAGCCCCTGAGCCGGGCACATTCAGAACCGCTTCCCCAGAGCCCGCATGCCCTTCACACGCATCTCCTCCAGCAGCAACACAACGCACAACTCCTGGAGCGACTCAAGCAGCAGACTCACCTGGGCAAGGTGAGAAAGAACGCTGAAACCTCTTAAGTCATGGTGAAATCTTTCTGTGTTTTGAGGTAAATCGAATATATATTGTGTGTGTGTGTGTTTGTGTGTGTGTGTGTGCAGTTGATGTCCAAGTCCAGCGAGAAGCCCAGACTGCATCAGATCCCATCTGAGGACATGGACTCAGAGGATGGAGAAGGGTCACCCCCGACTGACCGAACCTTTCACAGCAGATTGAGGGCGGAGTCACTCAGGGAGGCGGAGCCAACAGGATCCAAAACCCACGAAGAGCAAATCAACCTGCAGCATGCCCTCATACTCAACCAGGTGTGGAGCAGCAGACATTTTTACTCACAGAAAGCTGCTTTCTCTTTTTGTCCTGTAGATGGCGGCCTAACTCTTCATGTGACCGGTTTCTCCCTTTTACTTTAAAGTTTTATTAATATCAGCCTAGAATAGAAAAACGTCTCCATTAATGCAAACAAACATAAAAGTAGAACAAAATGTTTACTTTTCTATGTCAATAGTTTTAATTTTATTGTCGCTAATGTATTATTTAATTAAAATGCAACAAGAAATCTATCTGTGTTTCTACCTGGATAGTCGTTGCTATGGGAACAGCAGAAGCAGCTGCAGCAGCTGCATCGGCAGATGGAGACCCTGACTGTGCCCGTGTTACACAGCAGCGGCGGTGGTGGCGCTGCCTGCGGCTTGGGTGTCCACCGCCCGTTGTCCCGTGCGCAGTCGTCCCCGGCGTCCACCTCTCTCACCCTGCCTGAGAAACCGCTGAGTCTGACCGCTCAGGATCCCAGCAGCAAGCCACATTTTACCACTGGTTAGTCGGCCATGTCTAACATGTTTCTGTAACACCAGCCCAAATGCAGTTTGATTCTTTTGAGGGTCAAAAGAAATAAACTGGGACAAAGACATTTTGAGGCATACCTTTCACTTCAAAATTGCATCTGCAGAGCTGAACTTGTAATTCAGCCACTGAATCATGGTTTTTAGAGCAGGGAAGCAACTAAAACCTGGTTGGACACCACTGGGTCAGGTACAATAGGTGATACTGGTTTTGATGGGAGCCTAAATTCCCACCTGAGGAATCTCAGCATTTGTCCCGATTGGCTTTTTCACTTTAGATCTCAACATTTGTCTGAAAATTCAAAGATTTCTCACTGTGTTTAAGTTTTTATGCATTTCTTTTTATAAATGTAGTTTTTGACCTTTATGCTTGCAGGTTTGGTGTACGACTCCCAAATGCTAAAGCACCAGTGTGCATGTGGAGATAACAGCAGTCACCCAGAGCATGCTGGGAGAATACAGAGCATCTGGTCCCGACTACAGGAGAGAGGCCTGAGAGGACAGTGTGAGGTACAACACACACAGACGCAGGCACACGCACACACACACATTCCTGTCTTGCTAGTAGGTGTCAGGGCGTCAGACTTCCATTTATTCTAGTGACTGCATGATGCCTAACCCTAACCATTACTAACCCTGACCTTAACTAAAACTTAACTCGCACCAGCCCTCTAACTAGTAGAGCCCAGTAGCATTGTAACAAAAGTTGGGACCAGGAAAAATGTTTTAACCTTTTAGGTTAAAAATGTGAGTTGGTCCTCGTGCAGTGTAGACAAGTAAACACACAACACGCTCGGGAATTCGGGGTCAAGCAGGTGTGAACGCTGATAGATCATTACCTGACTTTTATGGCTTTCCTTTAAAGGCCAAGTTCACCTAGAAACAGTTTCTTACTAAATGTGAAAATAATCTTCTACCCCTATTATCTGCGTTAGCCGCCAATAGAAAGTAGACGGTAAAAGCCAGTGACATTTAACTCATTCACTGCCATTGAGTTTTTTACTGTGTGGACGTCGGACGAGCCCCCACACTGTGAGAAAAAACATCTCAGCTCTAAAGCCAATCTTCATCCACATACATCACACGTCACGTGATCAGGAAGCAGAAAATCCATGTGTTAGGAGATCATTTTGGGCCGCTGCTGTAAAAAAAAAGTGAGGCGCGAACCGGAAAAGCTTCTGCCGATCACAATTCAACAACGGATTATGAAAGAACAAATAACGCTCGAAACGCGTGGATTCTTCCTGACGTGAGAGGTGAGTCTCCTCTTTGTTTTGGTAGTTTTGGCGTCGACATCATCCTATCGCGCAACGTTCTGTGACTCTTCAAAAACAGTAAAAACGCTGGCAGCGAAGGGCTTTTCTGATCAGGAAGCAGCCGGCAGTTAATGAGTTAAATGTCACATTGTCAAATTAGCATTTGAGGATTCACTCGACGCGGAAGGCTGTTGTTTATTTAGCATCCAGGAGAGAGCAGAGCATGTCACCGCTAGTAGAAGCTAACTGTTAGCATTAGCAACTCCACAACATGGCAGAACTCCAGGCTTGTGTTATTTTTAAGAGATAAAACATCAACGTTGCAAAGTAGAGTCGGTGGTAGTGTCGTGTTGCTGTTAGCCAATCAGAGGCGAGATGTCCGTATATCAGGAAATAAGACTCCATACCCCGCCGTCTTCTCACCTCTCCTCTGGCTCACTTCCAGTTCCTGAAACAGAAGCTTTATACTAGAGACCACCGCAAACATGTTGATAAAACAAGTGACCTTGATATTTAAAATAAATGATTAAGGTTTTTAGAAAACGTAAATGCATTTCCTTGGTTCATGTAGAGTATTCGTGGTCGTAAGGCCACTCTGGAGGAGCTGCAGTCAGTTCATACGGAACGCCACGTGTTGCTATATGGAACAAACCCGCTCAACAGGCTCAAACTGGACAACCGTAAGCTGGCTGGTAGGTTAAAGATGACTTCATGATGAATTAGATATAAAAGAATCAGTGTGCCTCGTTTGTTCATGTTGTGTGTGTGTGTGTGTGTGTGTGTGTGTGTGTGTGTCCGTCCCAGGAATGCTGTCTCAGAGGTTCTTTGTGATGTTACCGTGTGGCGGTGTAGGGGTAAGGAAGAACTTTTATTCCACAGTTGGTGTTTTCATGATAGGTTGTATATCATTTCACCGTAGAGCGACAAAATTTAAAAAATGATAAGAAAGTCCGGATATCAGAGACAGCCGGTGTTGAACCCATGAGAAGTTAGACTGATGAGAACAACATGCTGACAGTTTCACTGTAAAAGCCAGATGGACATTTGTGCCAAATTGTGCAAAAATGAAAAAAAGAATAAAAAAAGCAGAATAGGATGGAAAATAAAAGAGAAATAAATGGCAACACTGAGTCACTTCAGGGCATGAATGGGTTTCTATTCTTATTTTAGTGTAAGAATTCATTAAATGTTACAAACTGATCATAATTACACACAGGAGATGTAGTTTTGTTACTGAAATTCAGTCGGTTTTCCTTTGATTGGCAGGTGGATAATGACACCATCTGGAATGAATCGCACACGTCTACGGCGTCACGCATGGCGGCAGGCAGCGTGGTCGAGCTGTCGTTTCGGGTGGCCAAAGGAGAGCTCAAGGTTAGAAACTAAACCCTCCTGTCTTAATATCAGACCCGGGTACCCCTTTACAACAGGGCTCCCGTTATAAATGGCTAATAACTTGTAATACAAACAGTTAACAGGTTATATTATTAATTAAGAACTTAATTAATGCATATTAAAGATTTATTAAAGATTTATAACTATAACTTATTGGTTAGCCATTTATATTGAGGGACTTCACTCTAAAGTGGTTCCCAGACCAGACACTGGTTTTACAAAAACTCCTCCACACCGTAGTTTAAGTTGTTGCAATAAGCGGAACCGGTGCAAACAGGATAGTTTAGTTGGCCTTTTACAGATATGACTTTCATAATGCTTGTTTTGCAGGAGCTTTAAGCAACATTTGTAAAAATATTCCTGTTAATAATTTCTCCATTTTCTGTCCAGAACGGCTTTGCTGTGGTCAGACCACCAGGACATCATGCCGAATCTTCTAATCCAATGTAAGTGTGTGTGATGCATGTGTGTGTGTGTGTGTGTGTGTGTGTGTGTGTGTGTCATACATGTACAGGTACATTTCATGAAGTCAGAATATCATAAAAAATCTATCCAATATGAGTTTCACTCTCTGAACCAAGTGACAGTGTGCTTTATTATATTATGATTTTTATTTAAAAAAAAAGGGTGGCTTGCCAACTCCGGGTCGGGGGAGAGGTCCTACCTCAAGTGGAGGGTCTTGTTCACGAGTGAGGGTAGGAGGGATCGGGAGATCGACAGGCGGATTGGTTCGGCGTCTGCAGTGATGCGGACGCTGAGCCGATCTGTCGTGAAGAGGGAGCTGAGCCAGAAAGCCAGGCTCTCGATTTACCGGTCGATCTACGTCCCAATCCTCACCTATGGTCATGAGCTTTGGGTAATGACCGAAAGAACGAGATTGCGGACACAAGCGGCCGAAATGAGTTTCCTCTGTAGGGTGGCCGGGCTCAGCCTTAGAGATAGGGTGAGGAGCTCGGACATTCGGGAGGGACTCGGAGTAGAACCGCCGCTCCTCTAGATCGAAAGGAGTCAGTTGAGGTGGTTTGGGCATCTGGTCAGGATGCCTCCTGGACTCCTCCCCGGGGAGGTGTTTCGGGCATGTCCTGCCTGAAGGAGGCCCCCGGGTCGACCCAGGACACGTTGGAGAGGTTACATCTCCAATCTGGTCCGGGAACGCCTTGGGGTCCTGCCGGAGGAGCTGGTGGAGAAGGCCGGGGAGAGGACGGTCTGGAGCTCCCTAGTTGGGATGCTGCCCCCACGACCCGGACCCGGATAAGCGGAGGAAGACGACGACGACGATTTTTATAAAAGTGCCTGAACAAGGTCCAGTCGCCCAAACTTTTGCTTCTCTGTGGATAATTTTCATAAAACAATAGATGCTTTTTATTTTTAGTGATTTGTTCTGCACAAAGTTAAACTTTTCCTATTTTTGTTCGCTATGCATTCCCCCAAACTTTGCTGTTCAGGTGTTCTGCCTGCTGTTGCACATTTAAACGAATCACACGAAGCCATGGCGGTATCTCCAGAAAGGTTCATATTTCGCTACAGCAGATTCGCGCTGCAGCCACCGTGTCTTTTAAATGAACCCGTGACATTTCTGATCTGGGTCATTAAAAGAGATGATTTATTTGACCTGAAACCAGATCTGTTTGCGACCCACACCTGTGGCTGAGCGACTTTTCCTCCTGGTACTGAACTCTGTTCTGAATATTCCAGGTTATTCTGAAATGATCCCGAACACAGATTTACATTTGACATTTACTGTGCCTTAGATATCTGCACGCTTCTGATCAACACAGTAAACCTTCACCTAGAGGCAATCATGTTCTATTCTGTTCTATTCAGCATGTTTTAGTTGTTTCCCTTCTTCAACACCTGACCCAATGGTTGAGCTACCAGTTCAGCCTCTCATCAAGCTCTGCTGAAGCCTGTAAGGCCTTCGGAGGCAGAGAAACTTCTAGAAAATGCAGGATTAAAAACATGTAGATGTAAATTTCAATAAAATAGGAAGCGCAGGAAAAGGCTTATCTTGCATCTTTCTGTCATCTTTGTTTATTAGGGGTTTCTGTTACTTCAACTCTGTGGCCATAGCTGCCAGGCAGCTCCAACAGAAGCTCAGCGTCAGCAAGATCCTCATTGTTGACTGGGTAAGACCTCCTCTTAGCCCGGGCCTCTTGTCACACTGGATACAAGCTTGATGCTAGTGTGTCATTGCTAATTATTTTGTTTCACGTCATTTAAATAATTAGGACGTTCACCACGGTAATGGCACCCAGGAAGTGTTTTACAGTGACGCCAGCGTTCTCTATATTTCACTTCATCGCTACGACGATGGAAATTTCTTCCCCGGAAGCGGATCACCGACTGAGGTGGGTGAAGTCTGGAAACATCTGTTTTTATTAGGTTTTTGCGGGAATAAAGAGCGACCTTTACCCAACTGCTGTGTTTAGGTTGGTTCTGGAGCCGGTGAGGGGTTTAACGTGAACGTGGCCTGGACAGGAGGACTAGACCCGCCCATGGGGGATGCAGAATATCTCGCTGCATTCAGGTAGGATCAAGTTTGATTTCTGCTATTACTTCATCACAGAATATGAATGTCATCCATCCATTCTCTCTCGCGAATCCAGGCTCGGGTCGCGGGGGCAGCAGCTTAAGGTTGGTTTATGCTTGACGCGTACGCGAGGTTCGCACGGTTCTGCACGGCAAAATTGCATCATTTTAACAACCACACCCCTCCGCCTCCGCACGGCCCAAACTTTCCGCACCGCGCACCTAGGAAATTTTCTAACAACGCCGACGGTCGGACACGGAAAAACATGGCGGACTGGCAAGAACTAGCATGGTAGAGGTTCGTAAATACAGACATTTGTATGATTCAGCTCTCAGAGATCGCCGTGATCAACATGTTGTTAATAATTCTTGGAGAGAAATAGCTCGCACTGTCGGAAAAGACGAGGACGCTGTTAAAAAAATGCTGGAATACCATGTTGTAAACAACAGTAATTTTTACTTCTACTATGGTGTAGTGTTGGATGCATGCCGTAGAGCTCCATGCTGCCCCCTACAGTTTGGGAGAATATTGGCTCACCGCAGAGACGAGCCGCATGAACGATAAACGCTGCAAGTTGTGAAGCGCGTTCCATCCGCGAGCCGCATCACCAAGCGGAAAGTGAATGCGTCAAGCATAAACCAAGCTGTAGGCAGAGAGGCCCAGCATGTCTGGACTTTCACCGGATGCGTAAGCATCGTGTTACGTTCGTGAAGCATAGTAAGCAGCTATGTTTCCATGGGGCGAGATGCATCCCATCCCGATATGGTAAGCCTAAGGGATCTGTGAAACGCCACTTTCTTACATGCCCAGTTAAAAAAGGCATTAAAATTTATCTTTATTAACTTCTAATGCTGAAAGATATGGCAGAAAAATCTCCACAACACTGTAATTTACGCAGCTTTTTTGGTGAGAACGCTGTAAAAATCAGCATATTTTTGGGTTATTGAATGCAACTTTATACATCACACTGCCCTTTTCTCAATGCGTTCCCAAGCACATACAAAATGACACTCTGACAGCACAAAACGTTGTGTCTTTAATCTATAATTATAGATTTAAACGCCTTGGACATGTTCAAATGTGGCCATTCACTGAGCCCTTAGGCTTGCCCTATTCCAGAAGAGTAGGTGTTGCATCGCACAACTAATTTTGTGCTTTAGGTCTATTCTTTTTCATGCTACGCTTTCACAATGTGTCAGCTATTCTGATCGGGCCAGACAGGAAATCAAACACTGGATGTAAAACTTTCAAAGATAAAAGATGTGCTGATTTTCATTTGCTAGACTAGTGAAAAGAAAGCACCATTACCTCTGCAACCTTCATAGTAGGGGTGTAACAATATCTAAATCTCACGATACGATAATGTCGCGATATGAACCTCATGATACGACATGTATTGTGATACTGTGGGTATGCTCACAATAATAAGACTCGCAACATAAAATACTTAGACTGGTCATTGGTACATTTGTCATTAACTTTATCATCATTATGACATTTTGAATAGCCTGAAAAGCCATAAAGTGCAAAATTCAAGTAACAACTCAATATACATTTACAAAAGAAATGGCAACACAGGTACAGAATAAACAGTAAATATAAAGGCATTATTAATCAGCCCATTCAATAAATAAAAATACCCAGGCACTAAAACTACCGGGCTGTGTGGACTGCACTTGGTGAACTGGCCAATGACGCGGAAGCAAAGGATCATGGTCTATGTAGTTTACTTTGCTATGCTCCTGTGGAGCAGACTGAAAAGTGTTATTTTTACCTTAAAGGGACTTTACGGACTTTTGAATTTTTATGCTTGTGATTGCCCCCTCAGGCCAAAAGCGTAACGGCAGATTCAATAGTAGGCTCGTGCACGAGGCGCGCATGCTGTACGTGCACACTCCTTAATGAAAATAACACCTGAGACAGTCCCTTGTGTGTGTGTGTGTGTGTGTGTGTGTGTGTGTGTGTGTGTGTGTGTGTGGCCCGGAAGACAGAGGACAGGAGAACGTGCAGCTAATTAATTAAATAATTTGGTTCTGTAGCTTTCTCTTCAGCACAGCCGACAAAGGTTTATGATGGGTCAGTCCTCCTGCATGCTCAGATCATTCCCTTCCCTTGCTTGAAAAATTGTTCCAAAATGAAAGTTGAACCCACATCTTTTTTATCTGTGAATTCAATGCCGTTCGGCGAGTCTCAAATAAAAATTTGGGCATCTTACTGTAAAAAAATATACCATTAATGTAAAAAAGAAACTCTAAATAAACTATGTTCACATCCAGAATCAAACCCAGGTCTTCTGCATGGGAGTCAGACGTTTTACTAGGTGAGCTACAGTGCCAGTGATGTCATTTGTATCTGTAATATTTATGTCCTTGATGACACCTGAAACAACGTTCAAAGAACGGTTCGAAGCGAAAATGGCTATTTTGTTGCTAATTTGCAGGAAATATCTAGAAGAAAGTTCTACAGAAAGTAGCTAAGGGTCCTCAGAAATGTAGCTAGCTTTGTCACTAGGCGTTAGGAACAGCTACAAAGTGGCACTACCTCTCTCTCTGCTGCTAAATCTACTGATAGCAAAAGCTACGAGCGATGCCTGAGCGTGAACGCGCATGAAGCAGCCTGCTCGACCCGAGCATCTCTCTTTTTCGGTGATTTTACAGAAAAACAGGCAATCACAGTAAAAATGCCAGGGCTCATTCTACAGGACCAGGGTATTACAGGAGAATGTATGAAGAAGACATTTATTATTTCTATACACGTTTTGGCTGTCAAACTTCCATAATGCCCCTTTAAGACGTGCTGTACAATATTGTGACAAGACCACGATGATATTGTCGCCCTTTTACTACGGCGATATCGCGATATTGCCAATATTGTTACAGCCCTACTTTGTAGTAAAAACACAGAAAATAAACCACAGTCCTTTTGGGACACATGCAGCCATCTTTCTCCTTGATTCTGATCACACAAACTGACAAAATCATGTGTGATCTCGCATTTCTCTGGCTTTTGCATCTGAAACCCTCCCAAGGGCCACACTACTGATGTCGCAGGAAAATGTATCTATCACATTAGAGCCGCTTACACATCCTATGGAAATCCCAGGTGACTTTTTCGTCATTTTTCAGATAATTTGCATCTGATTATCTCACAGAACCCTCCCTACACACTGAGATAAAGAGCAAAATAAGCTACTTGATGTATTTCGTGTTTAGATATCCTTCGGAGTGCCTCATTTCTGCGGTATTAATTGAGAGCAGCTGGTGATTTACAATGAGGTATGTAAAATCTGGTGAATCAAAATCAACCAAGTTTAGAGCAAAGTTTATTTTGCTCATTCTTCCATTATAGTTTTCACAATCCGTGTCCAGGTTTTATTGATCAGCACAACAAAATGAGCAGATCTTTAATCAGGCAATTTCCTCCATTTCCTGCATGTCGAGCCACAACAAACACGCTGGAGCTGATCACAGGCTCGGCTCCTCTCTCCCTCTGACGTACTTCTTGCGCAATTAATAATCTTTGTCATTTGGAGCGCATGTGTCTGGCGTTCCCTGTTTCCATTAACCTCAGAGGTTTTACAGTAAATGCTCTCTGGGTTTTGTGTTTGACAGACTGCGCACTGTTACTTCCTGATGGTGGGTTGGATAATTGTTATTGGTGGGTGTTTAGCACCAATAAAGTTTCAGTCGTGTGGGCTTTCTGGTCGTCTGCTGCATCAAACCTCAAAGAAAGTACTTGTTTTTTATGGAAAAAGGCTGCAGACGTCAGGAGGGGAAACTGCACACGTGCATGCTTATTTTCTTGTGCACAAATACAAATAAAAACATGGGCAATAATCCTCACAAAACAAGCTGTGAGTTTCTGTATTCACTTATCCTCTGGTGTTGCATCAGTGACCTTATCTACTTTTAGATTATTTCTGCTGTGTGCTTTTGGTAAAAAAACTGATTCTCTGTTCTGGAGGGATCAGCTCTACGAGTATGACTTTGACCTTTGAACTTTCCTTAGAGCAAAACAGCAGAATAGAGATTTCCTTGTGATAAGAACAAGCGTGTGCACGTGTGTCTAAGGCTGAGCAGATCACTATTGCAGCAGTGACATGCACAATTTTAGGACCTGGTAAAAAAAAAGAATGACCCCAGCTCGTTGGGATTGATACGTTCTTTAGCATTTTGTATACAAGCAGGGAAAAAGTCAATAGTATTTCTGTAGTATGTAATAAATTATTGTGTTTAGAGGAAATTTGAGTTAATTTATTTTCTACTTGTTCAGTTTTGGCTGGTTTGTCCAAAGTACATAGTACTCAGTTAGAAGTTTATTAAAGGGACTTTACGGACTTTTGAATTTTTATGCTCGCGATTGCCCCCTCAGGCCAAAAGCGTAACGGCAGCTTCAATAGTAGGCTCGTGCACGAGGCGCGCATGCTGTACGTGCACACTCCTTAACGAAAATAACAGCTGAGACAGTCCTGTGTGTGTGTGTGTGTGTGTGTGTGTGTGTGTGTGTGTGTGTGTGTGTTTGTGTGTGTGTGTGGCCCGGAGGACAGAGGACAGGAGAACGCGCAGCTAATTAATTAAATAATTTGGTTCTGTATCTTTCTCTTCAGCACAGCCGACAAAGGTTTATGATGGGTCAGTCCTCCTGCATGCTCAGATCATTCCCTTCCCTTGCTTGAAAAATTGTTCCAAAATGAAAGTTGAACCCACATCTTTTTCATCTGTGAATTCAATGCTGTTCGGCGAGTCTCAAATAAAAATTTGGATATCTTACTGTAAAAAAATATACCATTAATGTAAAAAATAAACTCTAACAAAACCATATTAACTCAGAGAATCAAACCCAGGTCTTCTGTACGGGAGTCTGTCGTCTTACTAAGTGAGCTAAAGCACCTGTAACGTCTTTTGTATCTGTAACATTTATATCCTTGATGACAGCTGCAACAACATTCAAAGAACGGTTCGGGGCGAAAATGGCTATTTTGTTACTAATTTGCAGGAAATATCTAGAAGAAAGTAGCTAAGGGTCCTCAGAAATGTAGCTAGGTTCATCACTAGGTGTTAGGAACAGTGACAAAGTCGCTGAGTTGGTACTACCTCTCTCGCTGCTGCTAAAGCTACGGATAGCAAACGCTACGGGCGATGCCTGAGCGTGAACGCGCATGAAGCATCCTGCTCGACCCGAGCATCTCTCTTTTTCTGTGATTTTACAGAAAAACAGGCAATCACAGTAAAAATGCCAGGGCTCATTCTACAGGACCAGGACATTGCAGGAGAATGTATGAAGAAGACATTTATTATTTCTATACACGTTTTGGCTGTCAAAATTCCATAATGCCCCTTTAAATGAGAAATGAAAAATAATTGCACAGAAAATATCTAGGAAGTAATATTATAATTAAAACTGGTTGACTTTAAGAAAACGAGCTTGATCTGGCCACGCCCACCCATCCCTACTCAGGCTGCTATAGGCTGAGAAGCTCTGATATCTGGGAGGGGCTCATAGTAGAGATGCTGGAAGAGCAGCTTGTAAATAGCTTGTTTTTCACACAGTCACACTCTGACAGAAATGGGTGGATGGTTTTTTTCATGTTTTGAGTGTTTATAGAGGCAGTAGAGACCCACAGATCAGCATAAAAAGCCAAGCCACCTTTATTTGTATAGGGCCTTACAACAGTATAAAACCGACCAAAGTGCTTTACAGAACTTAAAACATTAAAAACAATACACAACATAAAAAGCATAACAACTAAAGCTTAAGAGCTAACACTCATGCTGAGTTAAAAGCCAAATCATAAAAATGGGTTTTCGAAAGAGATTTAAAACCAGACGGTGAAGAGGCCGACCTAATGCTCAGAGGCAGTGCATTCCAGATCCTAGGGGCCACTTCAGGAAAAGCCCTGTCACCTCTGAGCTTGCGTTTTGATTTTGGGACTTCCAGGAGCATCCTATGAGCCAACCTCAGATACCATGCAGTGGAGTAAAATACCAGAAGCTCGGGGAGGTAATCTGGAGCAAGGCCATGCAAAGATTTAAAAGCCCATAAAAGTACCTTGTACTGGATTCTAAAACGATCAGGCAACCAGTGCAGTAAGGGCAAGACAGGAGCAACGTCCTCCATCTTTTTCATCCCAGTGAGCAGACGTGCAGCAGCATTCTGCACTAACATAAGACGCGAGAAGTGGGATTGCGAAACACAGAATTTACAAGGAATTACAGTAATCAAGCCTTGATGTAATAAAAGCACGAATTACCTTTTCAAAAGAATTTTTTGACTGCAAGTAATTTACCTTGGCAACCCTTTATTAAAAACTAGATTTAGTCACCACACTGATCTGCCTGTCCAAGGCAAGATCCCCATTCAGTACAACACCCAGGGAAGTCTCACCCAGTTTCAAGAATGGGACGAGCTGACCGAGGTCTACTGTGCCCACCCTAGACAAAGTACTTGGACCAAAAACTACAACCTCTGTTTTTTATCCTTAAAAAGAAAGCAGTGAGATAACATCCATTTCCTAACCTAAACAAGACAATCTAAAAGAGACTGCAAAGCATGATTGTGGCCCCTCTTAAAAGGCACGTATACCTGGGTATCATCTGCATAGCAGCGAAAATGACACCCATGTTTCTTAAAAATCAAACCAAGAGGTAGCAGATACAAAGAAAACAACAGTGGGCCCAACACAGAACCCTGGGGAACCCCACAAGAGAATGAAGCATTAGAGGAAGTAAAATCCCCCAATGAAACGCGGAAGGTTCTGTCAGCCAGGTACGACACAAACCAATCCCGCGCGACCCCAAAGCAACAGCAAAAAGCAAAGCAAAAGGTTCACAAACAAATGCTACCTACATTTATTATATTTGGCCACATATTGTCATTCTTTTATCTTAGGTGTGGATGCATTTAAAAATGTCACTGTTCTGCTAGGAGGTTCCAGGGTTTTAGGTCTGAATGTTTTTTTCTTATGTCGTCTTCTGCTTATCTGTGTTTTGGGGGGGCCACATCCCTACCTGGAAGACTCGGATCATCCAGTTACCAGCCACCTTCACCAGCACCTCTGGTGTTCCCTGATCAGCCTAGAGAACTAGTTCCTGCAGCATGACCTGGGTCTACCAGGAGGCTTCTTACTTTCAGGACATTCCCAAAACATCCCCTCTTGGGAGGTGTACTTATAAAATGCTTGTAATTGTTTGAATTGGAGGAGCGACAGCTCTTCTCCAAGCCTCTCCCAGATATCCGAGTTCCATATCTCTAAGGGTTGACCCAGCCACCTCGCGGAATAAGCAAAGTTCTCAGCTGAAGATGAATGGTAGTAGGAAGACTCCTTATCTAGTAACTTTCCTGCTTTTTCAGTTTCCAGACTTATTTTTTATTTTTTAGACCAACCCACTTGCCACATCAGACTAACAGGAGCTCATTTATCTGATGCAACAATGAAACCAATCTGCACAGAAGATGGATTGAAATAGAGAGACAGGAGTATAGATGGTGGGAGGTTAGCATCGATCAAAGCCAGACTGTCAATAAAACGACTTTATGGTTACATGGTAAGCATCTTGGCCACCTGGAAGCCTGATTTGTTTCAGTTTCAGTCGTGAAGATGATTTATAAAAGCCAAATTTTTTCATAAGGAAAAAGAAGGTGGAGAAAAGACTTTGAGTCTTGAGTCCTGAAGTCCCCCCACCATCTCACCACCCTAGTTTGAGCAATGCCCGCCGGCTTTGTAGCCAATAAAGTTTTCAAACATTTTGTGGTCTGCCTGAAAAACAAGATCTACAGGCTGTTTAATAGAATGTATTTTATGGGTAAAAGTTTAAGCTTTTGAGAGGGTGCTTTGTTGCTTTTTCACCTTATCCTTCAACCCCCCCCCCCCCCCCCCATTCTTATTTTCCATCACCCCAAGCCTCACCACAATCCAGCACACGCACATTCCCTCTCTTCCTGTCCTCCCCTGATTGATCTTTAATAAGCTTCTTCTTTCCATTAGGATGGGATGGGGGGGCTGTGGTAATTTTTATGGGCCTACAGGGGAGGTGGGGTTTGATTTAGCAGCTAAATGCTGTTTGTGGGGATTAGAAAGGTGCACGCATGCTCTTTTTTGACCATCGGATACTTTTTGTAATCATTCAAAACTTATCTTTTTTTTTACCCAAATGGATTTTTTTCCCATTTTTATGCCTTTGCATTGATGCGTGGATAAAGCAATTTTTAATATTTTTATGCTAATTCATGAATTTTCCATCCCTGTGTGTCCTCATTCTTGTCTGCAAGCTCATGTTGTCGTTTTGCATGTGGTCCCAATAGCAGAATGTGTGTGTGTGCCTTTATGAGGGGGAGGTCGGTCTCTAAAGTCCCAAGGCAGAATAATGAAAGTAAATGGATCCCAGATGGAGTGTTTTTCCTCTTTTCTCTGCATTCTGTGACGTGAGGAGAGTGACAAGCCTCTAATTGGAAACAGGCCGGCACGCCACGGCTTTGAACTCCGCCGACGGCTCGGAGTTCCATATTCAGTCCACTCCCCACCCCTGAACGGCAAATCTCTCCTCCTAACAATAAGAGCATTAAGGAAATATGCATTTGCTTGGAGTCCAACAACAGTGTGCATGACTTTGTCAGGCAGACCTGTCTCGTTTGAGACGCAGCAGCCCCTCCGACAGAGAAACAATAGTCCTTTGTCAACGCAGTTGGAGCTGCTGAGTGTCGGATCTGCTAAAGCTTGGTTTCACTTGTCAACTTAATGACTTTTTTGGGGGATTGGATCGTAAATATTTTTGTATTTGTCCATTTCATAAACGCTCAGCTTTGTTTCAAAAGAGCCATTTTTCACAGAAAATATGGACAACTAGAAGAAAAAAAGTTTATAATGAAGCTTATTTTTCAAGTTTATGCTGACCTTTGAATCTAGTTTGTTAAGGATAGCTTGAAACCAGGGGTGGTTCAAGGAGGGGTGGCAGGGTGGGCAAGTGCCACCCTGCCACCCCCCAGAACCACCCTGGCTTAAAACAAACTATTGTGTTTTCTTTAGGTTAGGCTTTGGAGAAGCCAGTAAAATATCTTATTTGTCTTTAAACAGGTTCATTCTGGAATGTTTGGCCTTTCCATTCAGCTTTGTTAAGAGGCAAATTCTCTTTTAATTGCAAACTTTATACTTTTGAAGAGGGTCTAGTCTGCTTCTTTTTTCAGTGAGGTGAGCTAGCTTATTTCTTACAACACACGCACACAAATTTTCAGTTAATTAAACTGTATGTAAACCAAGGTCACGTGGGACTTATAGTTTGTCAAGAATACAAACAAACTGGGACAAAACTGCAAACATGTTTTATTTGTGTCTCATTTTGTTTGCATTTTGACTGCCAGCCCCTGCCAATGATGCCCCACATTTCACAAACTTTCTGATTTCCAGGAAATTGAAATTTGAAGTACTTAGAATAGGTTGGAAACAAATTTCTTATGTGACAGCCCTGTCACTTTTTTGCCAAGAAATTTGAGTTGAGAAGTTGAGAAGCATGCTCAACATATCCAGGACCTAAGACCAAGGCTTTGAGACCAATAGGATGTAGTTACTTTCTTTAATTAGACTTTTGTCTATGTGAGATGACGGAAGTTCAGAGGCCTCATATAACACACCCTAAATTTGCATATCAGGGTGAAAACAAAAGTCTTGTGGTTGTTCCTATACATGAGAGGTTTTCTGTAACATTAACAGACTTGAAAATGTCTTTTTTAACCCTTCCAACCCGAGCGCCCCCCAGTTGGGGGGCAAATAGTTTCACAAGAGCTGTCATGCCACAAAACTCCCCCAAAATCAATTAAATATTGTCAACCAGACAAAATGAGACCAAAAGTAATCAAATAGACCTTGTGGTTCCAGAAATATTCTCATTTAATTATGGATCTGTCATTTTCGAGAATATTGCTCAAAAAGAGGCCTAGGGCCTTAAAAGGTGCATTCTTGCAGTGACAGTGACAATGGTATTTGTGTGTGTCCCTGCAGGTCTGTGGTGATGCCCATTGCTCAGGAGTTCTCCCCAGATGTGGTTCTGGTGTCAGCTGGCTTCGATGCAGCTGAGGGGAACCCCGCCCCTCTGGGAGGTTATAAGGTCTCCGCCAAATGTAAGCACACTTCTCTAATGGAAGCTTTTCTTGTTCAGCTAGAGACACAAAGAAACATTGATGTAGTCCTAAACTGAGACAAGAACTTTCTGGAGAATATGTCAAGCATGAGCCAAAGAGCGGGACTGTGTGTTCGTAGTGCCTTTGTTGATGTGAGATGATATAACATGTAGTTTTCACAGTTTATTGTACATTATTGTGGTGTAACTTTTGCAATAAATAATTTGTAAAACATTATTTTTACTGCTTTCATCGTGAGTCCTTAATATTTCTGTGCATTTGCGCCGCAGGTTTTGGTTTCCTCACCCGCCAGCTGATGTCTCTAGCTGGAGGTCGCCTGGTTTTGGCTCTCGAGGGAGGTCATGACCTTACGGCAATCTGCGATGCATCCGAAGCCTGTGTCAGCGCCCTTCTAGGCATACAGGTATTATCATCTTTTTATCCAACGATTATCTCTTCAACAAGGGAAAAGTGTGAGACTTTTTCCTTTGCTGTTTGTGACTCGAAGGACCAAATGTCAGAAGATGCCCTGCTCCAAAAACCCAACGCCAACGCAGTCCGCTCTCTGCAGACCGTCATACAGATCCAGAGTGAGTAAAAGTACATCGTCTTTGGATCTTCTCTGTCTTTTGTTTGTTTTTTATCATATGTACATGTGTTGTAGGTCAGTACTGGCAGAGTGTGAAGGCCAACAGGGCAGCAGTGGAACTGCCCTACCTGTCAGATCCAAGTAAAGACTGTGAGGAAACAGACGCTGTCAATGCGCTGGCCTCTCTGTCTGTAGGAGTCATGTCCAACAAGAGGTACACACACACCTTCATGAATGAAGGCTCTCTTCCACACACACAGCCAGAAAAGCTTTCTGATTATTCCAACAAAACCCTAACCCTAAAAGTGTTTGGTTTTTTTCCCTTCAGTGTCGCTGAAGAGCCAATGGATCACGACAGCGACTCCATGTAGGAAAATCCAGCCAATCACCTCACAGAGTTCAGGAAGCGTTCCCCCACCAGCCTCGGGTGTCTGCGCTGTTCGAATGCACGCAAAGGGGACTTTTTTTGCGTCGCCATTGAGCCTCACCCACTTGCCTTATTTACACACAGCTCACCAGCCAATGCCGACACAAGCGCCTCCTTTCTGGTAACCACTTGGCTGAAGAAGCCAGCAGCTGGGAAACCTCCGGAAAACCTCACCAAAGAGACATAGACAAGTTTCTTTTGAGTGACTTTTCATGTCTTTGGACAGACATGCAAATACAGCGGTGTTTGTTTGTTCCATTGTTCATTTGCAAGTTCAAGCAGTCAATCGTTCATCTGTTTGTTCATTTGATCACTCAGTTGTTCAACGGTCATAAGTTCAATCAATCAGTCATTCCTTCATAAGTTCAATTAGTCATTTATTTGTTCAATCGATCGTTTGTAAGATTCATCAGCCATTTGTTAATTCGCTCGATTAGATCATTCGTTCTTTCTGAAGTTTGAGTGACTGATCGAGTGTTAGTTCGTTCATAAGTTGTATTCATTTGTTAGTTTCTTCATTAGATCAGTTTGAGCTTGAACTTTTGATCGTTCATTTGCTCGATCAGTCGTTCGAAAGAAATCCATTCTTCGTTGGATTTGTCATTTGCTTCTTTGTTCGATCGTTTGAGTTTGATCGACTGATCATTCATAAGTTCAGTCAGTGATTTGATTTTTAGTTCAAGCAACCGCTCATTTGTAAGTTCAATCGATCGATCGTTTGTAAGTTCGACTGTTTGGTCATTCGTTCATTCGTTTGTGCTCCAACTCTGATTCTCTCTCTCTGTTCCAGCAGCCTTAACTTTGCCTTACTTAATGTTTTAGGGAGATGAAACTGTGGAAAAAGTCATTTTTTTTAACTTTTGCGATATGTGAAGCAAACTTTGACCAAACAAGATTTAAACCTGGTTTACTGTGTAACATCAAATGAGAGCTTAATGTATAAAATGCAATAATACCGCCAAGTGGAACTGACCACGTCTTAAAGGAAGTAACGAGAGATCGTCTGCTTTGATGCTGCGTAACCACTAGAAGACAACAAAGAACTTTTTTTTGGGGGGGGGGGGGGGACTAAATGAAGACACAAAACAGACAAACTGTGGTTTTGTACAAACAAAAGACAATTGTCTTTTCTTTATTGCACTGTTCGTTCCATAATGTGAACCATAAGAAATTCCAAACCTCTGGGATGAGACAATTCCTCTTAGTAGACCATTCAACAGGTTTTCACAGAGCTGGATTAAGTCGTGTTGACTGTGTTTTTACCAGGTTTGATCGGAGACATTTTATTAAATCTGCCTTGTTCTTCACACGTAAGCTGACATACTGTAGCATCGAATTTCCTACAGATGACACCTGAAAAGTAGTCGTGATTCATGTCACGTTTGGTTTTTCTCTGCTGTTTTTTACTTTTGAGGATTTCACACACAGCAAAAACATTTTTATACATGTACAAAGCTATAATGAACTTTTCTTTTACCACTAGTATTGAAGACTGTGTATTAACGTTTGTTTTTATGACTAAAGGAGTGATTGTTCCACCCTGACGCCACTGAGGACCATCGTATTGTTTACTAGCAATACTGTTATGCACTTATTAGACACCACCCAAAGAAATCTGCCTTATATGAGCAAGGAAAGTGGAGTTTTACTGAATAGACACGAGAACAGGAACTTGGGACTCTAACCTGTGGATTTACTTGATGACATCACTCATCAGACTGTTTTTGCGTGAGTACAATGACCTGATTTGGTCTGAATGTTGTTGTTTTTTTTCCCCAGCATCTTAAAAATAAACTCAGAGGTGTTTTGATTGATCTTTTGGTAATTTTTGAGAACATTTGCTGGATTTATTTCTTTAACTACGTGAGGTGATTTTACAGAATTTTTACTTTCTGGCGACTCTACTTTGTGATCTTTTACTTCCATCCTTTTGAGGCGTGATCTCACTGCAACGGGGCATTTCAGAGCTCTGCATTCCAGAAGTACCTTTTTTTTAGTTATTTTGATTGTTGTGTGGCAGAATAGAGATTGTCGGTCTTTGTTTTACGTGTTTGACCACATTTGAATGACCATTGCTAAGATTCCTGTGCATGAGTTTGAAAAATAAAAAGCAAGAAAAGTACAAACCTCTTTTACTGTAGGATTCAGGACACTAAACACACCTGAAACAAACTAAAACTTTGATTTTACTGGTTTATTTTACTCCTTTCATGAGTTTCCTCTGAAAAAAAAAGACCTCCCTTCAGTTCTTCATAGATTTTCTGAATGATAATCAACTTTTTAGTATTTTTTTTTACTTTTCTTATTATAAAGCAATATTTTTTTTTTATCTGAGGCAACTGCAGAAGCAAAAGACATTTCATATTTCAGCTCTTATGTTTTTGCAGAGCGGATGTGTCTGAGAAGAATAAACAAGTTAGTTTTCTGTGATGTAATTCTCATTTGCATTTTTTGAGTAGAATAGAAAAAACCTGCTGCATTTGTCTTATCCAGCGTGATCCATGAAGTAAAGTAATACTGGATGTGTGCGGGAGAGCATCGGTGGTTGCACGTGCACTTCCTGTCCTATTCATGCATGCATTTACAAGTATTAAGGTGTCCATCGAGTGCTGTAAATGACCTTTGTATTACACGTTTCTGTCTTAATGAGAGGCCAGTACTGCCTCGGCTCTTAATTCCTTTTATTACTAATGTAATTTGTACATTCTTCTTAAAGAAAGACGCTGTAAATAGAAACTCCGAGACCAAAATACACGTCACACGTGTGCCTTGATGCATTCTGTAGCATGTGTATTGGTTTAATTAACTGGACTTGCTCTAATTCTTTATCTAAGAAAACAAAACTTAAAATCTTTGTTTCATTCAGCTCTTCATTACTTATTTTTATTCCCATTTCCTACCATGTGTATGTATAGAAAGATTGTCTATTTTATACTTTTTGTCCTTTTTTTCTTGATTAAAGAAATCTGTAAAACCAAATATTTGTGTCATTTTCTTATTTTATTATATTCCACAGAAGGACACATTTATTAGGAGATTTAATTTTGTTTATTAGATTAGTAATTTTCTCTTTTCCTTGCTCAAAATGGACATTTTTAAAAATTTAATTATATTTATTTATTTAATTCCAGTAATCAGAAGGTTGTAGGTTTGATGCCGGCTCTGACCAGAGAATGCTGCTGTTGTGTCCTTGGACAAGACATTTAACCCACCTTTCCTGATGGTGGTGGTCGGAGGGACAGGTGGTGCCAGTGTTTGGCAGTCTCGCTTCTGTCAGTGCGCCCCGGAACAGCTGTGGCTACAATGTAGCTCATCATCCCCAGCGTGTGAATGGGTGATTGACTGATTATGTTGTGAAGCGTCTTGGGGGGTTGTAGAACCTTAAGACAGCTCTGTACAACTACAGGCTATTTACCGTTTAGTAAAAGCTAACCGTTAGTATTAGCAACTCCACCACACAGCAGAACTCCTCCAGGCTTGTGTTATTCATGGAGATAAAACATCAACGTTGTAGAGCCAGCAGAGTCAGTGGTAGAGTCACGTTGTGTTGTCCAATCAGAGGTGAGATGTCCAAATATCAGCAAACAAGACTCCAAATCTGAAGCTCAGCTCCTAGAAATGGTGCACTGCTGTTTTTTGGCCCCTGAGGATGATTTTCAAGGTGTTCATTCCTACTAGAGACCACAGCAAGCCTATGATTAAACAAGTCTTCCTCACTTTTAAAAGCTTTTCTACATTTAAAATTTGGAAAATTTCAAAAAAAAAAAATCTACAAACACTTTAGAAAAGACCCCCCCCCACCACCCCCCCCCCCCCCCACACACACACACACTCTTTTACTGTAAAACCTCATTTAGGTTCATCGTTGTGTGTCTCAAGTTCATGTATGACTTATACTTGAGCTCGAAGTGCCCAGGGAGCTCTTTAATTGCACATTAACTGTTGCTGATCGAGCCGGCGAAGGAACACAGACCTCGTTAAAAAACACAGACTGGAGGAAGGAAAGGCCAAGGAGACAGTTTAATGAGAGAGACGGGAGACAAAGAGGGTGTGGTTGAAGGATTAATCTTTGCACTGTTGAGTAAAAACAAAAGCTTCAGGAAATTTACTCAAATGTGTGAACTTAATCTGTGCACGTAATAATCTTAAAAAAACTTTCTCTGGGCTGTTTTAGTTGGCAGAAATCGCGTTTGTTAAACATCTGGACAAAAGAAAATGAAAAACTGGATAGTTGCTTTGCTAACTTAATGTTGCGGTGACTTAAGTAACTTTAAAAATATTATTTAGAAAATGAAATCATCTGGGCTGCACAGTGGTGCAGTGGTTAGAGCTGTTGCCTTGCAGCAAGAAGCTCCTGGGTTTGCTTCCCAGCCTGGGATCTTTCTGCATGGAGTTTGCATGTTCTCCCTGTGCATGCGTGGGTTCTCTCCGGGTACTCCGGCTTCCTCCCACAGTCCAAAAACATGACTGTTAGGTTGATTGGTCTGTCTAAATTGTCCTTAGGTGTGCGTGTGTGTGTGTGTGTGTGTGTGTGTGTGTTTGTCCTGTGTGTCTCTGTGTTGCCCTGTGATGGACCGGCTCTCTGTCCAGGGTGTACCCCGCCTGATTGCCCGTTGACTGCTGGAGATAGGCACCAGCCCCCGCGACCCTACGTGGACAAAGCGGGTTCAGACAGTGGATGGATGGATGGATGAAATCATCCATTTTTGGAAACAGGCCTTAAATTGAAAACACTTTTTAACAGAACAGCATATTTTAGTTTTATTGTAATATCCTTTGCATTATAAATAATTGTAACCAAAATTATTTTAAGCAAAGGTTTTTATTTGCATCATTATTAAATTTCAACATTCATCAGCTGGAAACATAAAAACACAAACAGGCTGCTACTGCTGCAGCGGCGCTCATGCATTCTGGAGCTTGTGGAGGTGACGGTGGGCACGTTTTTACACATTCCCACCTGGATGTCCTAAAAAGGTTTTTACTTTCTTACTGTTTAAGTAAAACAGAATTAACAAGAACAGGAGCTTAAATGTGCATCAACCCGTCATCGTCCACGTGTGCAGCTTTAGAAGTGTTCAGTAAAGTTAGTGACCCTCCAAGTGACAAACCTATAATGGATTTCTGGCCTTTTTGCAGCAAAGAAGAAATCAAATTAAAAATGCATTTTAAAAGGAGAATAAGAAATGTTTGCAATGACCCAAAAAGTGATGAATATTTTATTTATGATATCAGTTTTAAACAAATAAACAACAAATTTTGAAAGCATGTAAACGATTGTTGTGAATGTGTGCATAAGCTCCGCCTTCACGTCTGCGTTTGTGTGCACAACTCAGCTCTCACCTTCTCCATCACTCCCAGTGGTTGTGGAAGCCCAGTGGGGAGCCGCATCAGCCTCCCCTTTGATGATGGCGTGTGTGATTGATGGCTTCTAGAGACCGTTTGTTTTCATTACGCCTCCCCGTCAGCTAGCCGGATCCCAGTTTCATGCAACCCAAGCAAGTTTAGGGCCGGGACGAGAGGAAAAGAAAGAATCGGCTTGGTTTGGTCTTAAAGTCTCAAATGCACGTGGCTACTTCTTCCCCCGACGATTAGGTGGGTTTAAAGGTGGTGAGGGATTCATGTAATATAGATTTTTGTCAAGTTAAAGGTTTCAAGTTAGATGGTCTTGTTTTCTTGTTCTTTCCTCAAGCTCCTTGTTTGGTTTCCAGCTCATACTTGCCTTCTGGACGCATGAATAGAACAACTGTGGATCGGTGTCACCTGAGAAAAAAAAATGGGTCCAAGGAAACATTTTTTACTAATCGGAAAGTTCAAAAACTCAAAAGTTGATTTTATTTTCTGCCCTCCTCTATGACACGTAAACAAGGCACAAAAATATTTAAAAACTACCCTATAATCCACCGTCACCAATAAATCAGTGGAATAGCAACAATCCATGCCTACATCTGACTTAGTAGATTAAAAAAACACCAAAAGGGCTTAAGACGACCTCCTGACGAGTTCTGTATGTACAAAAGCCTCCCTGACACTTAAGAAGAATGTTTTTGACCCTGCTAGTGACCAGTTGACATGGATGACCAGGCTCCTTCCATCCTCCAGATAGAAAAGGCGTAGCTTAGCCTCTCATGAGCCAAATAGTTACATCCTGAGAGCTTGCTGTCCATCTCGTTGCTCTGCAGCACCTGGTAGAGGAAGTCGATGTAGCGGGACGCCAGCTTCAGGGTCTGGATCTTGCTCAGTTTGTCGGAGGGAAGAGTTGGGATGATCTTGCGTAGCGAGGCAAACGCTTCGTTCAGGGACTGCGTCCTTTGGCGCTCGCGGATGTTGGCGATGACTCGCTGAGCGTGTGGGTCCTCGAGGGCTGGGAGTCCACCGGGACTGAGACCAGGTAGAGGAGACAGGGACGGACCAGACGAAGGCGGTCGGTGCTGAGGGCTCCTCTTCAGTCTTTTTGGACCGGCTAGAGAATAAATCTGGAAGTCATCCCCAGGTTTGCATTTGTCATCGTCCGGTGTTGTAGGGATGATCGTGGTGAGGTGGTCCTCCATGTGTGAGCCCATCGGACGCTTACGCCTGGAGATCCCAGGTGTTGCTACGACAACAGGACAGGCATTAGACAGAGGTTTCCTCGTGCTCTCTCTGCTGGAAACCCCTCTTCCCTCGGGTTGATTATCATTAGACAACTCCTCCTCTCTCATGCTTCACCACGTTTTTCCTCTCTTGGACAAAACAGTGTCCCTCTTGTCCAGATGTCTCCTCCTCAGGGGACTTCCCTTGCTGTTCTTCAAGAGCTCCCTCCAAATTTATGTCCTCTGACCTTCTGCTGCACCGTGCTTCCTCCAACTTCTCATTGTGCCATCTTCAAACCAGCCAAAGTGGAAGAGACGTGGACACGTGGACCCCCGTCAGGTGCCTTCCCGTCTCTGTGTGTCCACGCCACATTGGAGAACATGACTGTTTTCACATCTCGCTCCCGTGGCAGCATGTGTAACAGCAGCAGAAGGAGTGGGAAGTTTTAAAGGCAGGAAACTGTGGAGCTGCAGCTTCCCTCCCACCTGATGCAACGATTGGCTCAAAGAAGCTTTTGGACAGTTGAGCAAAAAAAAAAGAAAAAAAAAAGAAAGAAAGAATAAGGAATTCTGAGGGATTGGTCCAACTGAAGTGGCGAGGCGGAGACAACGACTTTCTGCACGGCCAACCATATTTAACCACTTTGATGCTTCTTGTTCCAGAAGTTGCTCAAGTTTATACGTTCCAGGTTTCTTGTTTTTTACTTAATATAAATACTGTGTCTAATGAGACATTGTTGGAGTTAAAACAGGATGTTTTTGCTCCCACAAACACATTCTGTTTTTGTTTTACTGACTCTGCATTGGCTTTAGTTCCCAAGTACAGACCTGGAGGGAGGAAAAAGCTACACTCAGCTCTGATGTTTCATGTCTGCGTTGAGATGACAGAGTCCAGCGAGCCAGAGGGAGACCTGTGGGACGTTGAGTCCAGGTCCAACATGACCCACAGCCAAACCTCTACAAGAAATGGTTATCAATGCCTCATGATGTCTCCCACATAGCCACATGTTTGTTTGTCCTACCAAACAGCTGTTCTTTCATTTTCATTTGATTCAGAAATGAACTGAGAAGAGAACAGGTCCAGGAGGGAAACTATCACTCTAGTCTCTCCAACAACACACTTCAGCTCCTCTTGGAGGATCAAAAGGCTCTCCAGTGGGCGGTCCCTGAAAATTCTCAGGAGAGAAGCCACTAGGATGCATGGACCATCAGCCAAGTCCTTTTGATGCAGAGGAGCAGCAGCGCTGCTCTCAGCATCCTCCAGATGATGGCGCTCCCGTCAGTCAGTCATTTTGGTTAAACATGTACGCCCTGGGATCATCCCACTGGAATAGTGGATGTTTTCCTGCTCTGATGGAGACAATAACAAGGAAATCTGTAAAATGATAGAGAATCGTTTATTTGGATATGAATGAGACGTTTACGTGCATTTGAGTTCATTTTTTCCGCATCTTCTTTACCTTCTATTTACACATTTTGATTATTACATTTTTTTCCTGTATTTTACATGCTCAACATAAATGTTCTAAACTAAACTAACCATTTTAAAGCAGCGATTGCGTGAAGCTGTGCATACTCCATGTTTTATAGGTCACAAACCTACTTGGTGTAAGTACTTTTTATTTTTTATTTTTATTTTTTTTGCTGAGCTTAAGTACGGTTTTAGTAAGGATTCAACGCAGTGTTTTATAAATGAGACCCCTGGCTTGTCCACAAGCAAATGTCACCATTAATAGTGATGAGCAAGGCTTCAGGCTAGCCTTGTTCTTGGAACCGAATTTGGGGAATTTGAGCCGGGATAGTCAGAGTGAGCCTAGTTTATGGGATTAGCTTACTTTATGGAACAGCCCCCTGGTCAGGTCCAGCAGCATGGGGGTTATGTAGGGTTCAGAAGAGCCTAGGCAAACCACAAACACGTCATAAGCGAGGAAAATTCCCCCCCCCCCCCCACCCCCCCCCCCCCAGAAACAGAAATAGAAGCAGGTAAAAAATGACCAGATTAAAAACACCATAAAACAAAAACACACCTTAAGCTGCCATCCTCTTTTGTGTTTGATCACAGAAATAATCTGCTGTGTGGGATCAAGTTCAGGAGTGATCACACTTGCGCAGAAGCACATGAACATTGTGGACAACCCATTGCAGGAATGTGAGAGTAAAAACGTTCCTACAACAGCTCCGACTGCCAGCCCCAACCTTCCATAATACCACTCAGCTGCTTCTTGTGTAAACGTATCAGTCAGAGCCCGCGCTGCACCCAGAGACACTCCTGCTGCCCCAGAAACCCCCACAAGAGCTCCTATAGTAGGACCTGGACCCAGAACCCGAGACTGAAGAGCAGCTATAGCGGCTCCACCTAAAGCTGCAGAAGTGCCACAGATTTTAAACGCTCCACCAGTTCGCCGAGTTTCAAACAAAAATATTCCTATAAAAATCATCAGAATCTGAACAGTTAACGCTCCAACAAAAAGTCCCCCCAGTACAGCGTCCTTCATGATATCTGAGTGTGTGGTAACGATGGGTAGCTTTGCAATGTTAAACACATCTGTTAGAAATAACGGTAATGCTAAAGGTGCGAAGAACCGCTGGAACAGATGCTCTTCGTTCAACAGAATTATGAAATTCACTGAAAATAACGAAAATAAAAGGATCATTTTTGATTTTAGTACAATTAAAAAACATAAAATGGACAAAATTACTGGGAATTTAAATAGAGTAAAACAGAAACAAGTCATCCAGTCCTTCCAATCAAAACCAATCCACTTGTGTAAACAGTTTAGGTAAAATGATAATGCAAAAACTAAAAGGACAGTGGAGACGACAACAATGGAAACGGAAATAGAAATAAAAGTTAGGATTTCAACAGAAGTGATCAATGATAGAACCCGCTCTAAAGCTAGACCCAGGAAGCCTCCAGTTGCAGTAACACCCATCAGACACACTGGTCCAGCAAAAGCCAGAGCTTTCCTCTCCGCCGTCGCTTCGCATGTTTTAATCACCAACTGATACGTCAAAAATCCTATGAAGACGCCAACAGCCAATGAAATCACCAGGGAATATGAGCTGAACTCCTCAATCACCAGAGATAAGAAAACATTATACATGTTGTTTTTCGTTTGCCGGCCGGTGAAATAAGCGTAGATGTCAAATGCCCCCACGTGATATTGTTTTACATAGTTTTCTAGCTGGTTCATGAGCGTATTGTTGCCAGTCAGAAGCTCCAGAGACTGAAGCAGAGTGACAGATGTTTGTCCCAGCAGCAGACCTCCCGGAAATCCTCCCACCAGTCCAACGAAGAAGATGGAAACCACCGATGCCGGTCCTGAGGATGGATGGAGAGATGTTAAAGCACATCTGCGCATTCTTTAGATTCATATGGCACGTGTGTTTCAATAGGTTTAATGTTTATTGTGACAAACGTGCACACACTTTTAACTCACTTGGGGAAAAGCAAGGATGTTGCAGATTTCTGACAAAAACAAAAATATTTCAGAAAGTCTGTTTATGTTGATGTGGCAGGCAGGACTTCATTCATAGCCACTTAAAGAGGATAAAGTTTACTCTGCAGTTCATTTACGTCACACAAGTTAACCAAAGTTTAATTACATTTAGTAAATCTAAATAAAAAGGCTTGTTCATGTTGTTGCTGATAGAACCTGTTTAAGTTTCACCTGTTGGTTCCTGTGGTCTCCATTGTAGCAGGTGGCATGAGAGCAGCTGCAAAACAACAAAAGTAAACAAAAGTTCATGCAGCACTTATCGCAGAACTATGAGCTCTGCTCCACAGAGATCAGCAGAAAAAAACCATGAAGTCATAAAATTATCTTCGCTACAAAAATATCATAAAAAAAGATTATCGGGCTCTTCAGCTGTTTCTTAAAGGTGGTAGGATAAAGGAAATTCATTCCAAAGAGAGGATGCAACACCCTGACAAGAGTGATCACCTCCACTTTTATATCTGGTCTTTGAAAGTTCTGGAAGGTTGTGGTTGGTGGACCTGGAGGCTCCATGCGGCAAAATTTGTGTCATTTTAACAGCCACGCCCCTCCACCGCGCCTCCGCACGGCCCAAACTTTCCGCACCGCGCACCTAGGAAATTTTCTAACCACGCGGACGGTCGTACACGTAAAAACATGGCGGACCTGCAAGAACTAGTATGGCAGAGGTTCGTAAATACAGACATTTGTATGATTCAGCTCTCAAAGATCACCGTGATCAACATGTTGTTAATAATTCTTGGAGAGAAATAGCTCGCACTGTCGGAAAAGATGAGGACGCTGTTAAAAAATGCTGGAATGCCGTGTTGTAAACAACAGTAATTTTCACTTCTACTATGGTGTAGTGTTGGATGCATGCCGTAGAGCTCCATGCTGCCCCCTACAGTTTGGGAGAATATTGGCTCACCGCAGAGACAAGCCGCATGAACCATAAACGCTGCGAGTTGTGAAGCGCGTTCCATCCGCGAGCCGCATCACCAAGCGGAAAGTAAATGCGTCAAGCATAAACCAAGCTGTAGGCTATAAGGAGGGGCTTGTCCATGCAGAGCCCTGAAAGTTCTAGTCAGGATTCTATAATGACATCACTGCTGACTGATTAATGATGGGCCTCTCTGATTTCAGTTTGTGAGGGATAGGATCAATGTTAGATTGGACATAAAGTCCATCACGTGAACCTCTTCAACATGTAAACGGTTGATGTTTTGTCCCAAAGAAAAAATTAGATCTAACAAGTCCATTTTAGGTATGGCGCCGTGCTGTTTGAAGGTAAAAGGCTCCGTAACTGATTACTGCTGTGCAACAAGCGGGGTCATCGATGGATAAGTTAAAGTCACCAAGAATTAAATCTTTCTCTAGTTTGAGCATTGGTGATAAAAATTCTGCAAATTCAGAGAGAAGGAGTCCCGCTGGACTAGGAGGCTGATTAATTGAAACACAGTGAAATGCATTTCGTAACCCTGCGGGACACCTTTCAACAAACAACAGACGTTTAACATGATTCATTTTCTAATCTGCACGTTTTTTATAAATGACTGACAGATACATGCTCCCATCATGATGCCTTAGTTAGGAAAACTAAAACACTTTAACACAACAGAAAGAAACACACATTTGTGTATTTTACCCTCACCTTGCTGTTACACACATCGGTACAGTTTTTTTGTTTTGTTTCAATCAAATAATTTTATTAAGAAAATCTGATACAACAGTGCAAAAGGATATTTGCTGAGTAACAAACTCACCACCAGCGAATTGGTTTATTACGAAGCAGCTCTGAGAAGATAGTGGCCACTGGCCTGCAATGAGACTCTAACAAACCACGGCGACGCAGCGAGAGGATTTAGCTTCTGACTTCTCTGATATGAAGCGTCACGTTTCCGAACGTCACTGCAAAAGCAGAACTTCAACATTCTTTCTGAATACAAGAAAGGAAGTCAGAAAAGTCGAACACCTTATGCTGAA